TATATATATATATATATATATATATATATATATATATATATATATATGGTACATGGTGGTGGCCATCTTGAATTTCGACGTGACAACCTAATCTTTGAAAGTAAACTTTCTTATGCCTATGGTGCCACACTCCAAAATGGAAGTCGATACCTCAGTAATTTTGGTAAGTATAATGCTCACAACATGGATAAACAATAATGACATTTATGCTGGCAGGCATATTGGATTCTGACCTGGCAACCCAATTTACAAAAGGAACATTTCTTACACCTAAATGTAGCCACACACCAAAATTGAAGTCAGCGCCACATTTATTTACCAATTTATCATGTTCACCCGTCTATGGACAGACGAACAGAGGGTATTTCCACTTCCCCCTTTTTGGCAGGGGACACTAATACCACTGGTAAAAAAAAAAGTATCTTATTTCAACAGGAGCTGTCTTTTGAGGTGGACGGTGCAAAGAGCATGAAGGTCCTTTGTGTGGCTCAGTCGGATGGTCAGGAGGATTCTGTTCTGGGAAAAACTTCTGTAGAGGTACAAAAACACAAACATTTAGGTTTAGATTTTTACCCCAACAGAAAAAAACAAGCTGATTTAAAAAAAAAGTGAACTGAGAGATAAACTTGCTCAAGATTTCTCAAATTATTTATCCCATTAGGGTCGTTTGGGATCGCTACAGTTTTGATCTTGTGATTTTAAATGGACAGCTTGAATTGGTGAGACTGTACGCAGTAATTTGTTGGAGTCAGCATTAGGCCTGTCGCAATAAACAATAAATCAATTAATCACATGATAAATGAAAATTATCAACCTCGTTTTCATTTATCGGCTTTATCGTTTCTTCGTGTCTCTCTCTTTCTACTGAAGACACTGGATGACAAAAGGCTCAACTCCGGTGCTCTTCACTGACCCCTCCCTTTCTCTTTAAAATCTGTTTTAACATCCAAAATCACGTTTTTGGATCGTTAAAAGCAGCTAATCCGAGAAGCTAAGCTACAAGCTAAGCTAACAGGCCGACATCGGGGAAAAACCTCTGTCACGTCGAAGCTCAAAAATTCACAGTTGAAACCCGTGTCTTCGTGTAAGAAGTTATTTTTTCTTCAAAAAGAAGCTGAGAACTTGTTTACTGACTTTTTTTATTAAAAACTTTGTGTGAAAAACACTATGCTAAAGAGCTCAAACCACACCAAGTGTCCACCATTTTGGGAACCGAAGAGAGACAGCCCATGTCATGTCAAGGGGCCTCCCTCATCTCTCATTTTTCTTAAAGACACGCTTCTCGCTCCCTCACTATCCATCCTTTGGTTCAAACAGCTTTATACTGCCATCCAGTGGTCAAGAAAAGGTACTACATGAAAAAACTAATTAACCAACATTTCTTCTTAAATTTGACAATAATTACTAATTATTACCAAATTTCAAACAATATTATCGTTTATCGCAATAATTTCTGAGACAATTTTTCGCCCAGCAAAATTTGTTATGACAGGGCTAGTCAGTATCTTACCTGCAGTAGACATTGAGTCAAGCTATCAGCTGGCCAGACTGGATTCCAGAGATAATTATTGTAATTTAAATCTAAAACCTCAAAATATTTGTAGTGGTCTATATAGCTCTTAGTGAATGTTTAATTCATACATTTTACACCAAGTTATTATAGCATTAGGCTGGTGTAGAGTCAACTGAAACTATAAGGCAAGTTGTTTTTGTTTTGTTTTTTTTTCTGTGGATCAGGCAGTTACACATAGGAAGGGTTTTAAATTCAAACCGCTTTTGTGTCAAAATATATCTTTATTACAGCAAGAAATACCACTTTAATTTAACGAGGATTCTGTGGAAAGATTATAAATAAATATTTTACCTGCTGTAAAAAGCTCTTTAAACAACCTCATTTTATGATTGATGAGCTAATGACTTATCTGAGCGGGGCCAAGATTAAAATATATTTTTACATTCTTCAAAACTACGCCAATATTTAAAAAAAAAAAAATAGTTTTCCATTCTAGCACATTTGTATAAATTATTTTGTTTTCATAAATTTTCCACCAAGAGGTTATTTACAATAAATTTTGTGGTTACTTCCAAGAACAAATAGAGGCAGCAGCAGCTAGCTGTAGCATTTCTGCTGTAACCGGGGGCACTTCCTGCAGGAATATCATCTATCTGCATGAAACTGGCAGCAGTGTAAAGGTTAATAAAGTGTTTGCAGTTAAAAATTTTGAGACTAACTATTTTAAGATGGCAGCAAATCACTTTAATCTTGGACTAGCTGTTAACTTGTTAATCTGGTCAGAATTAAACTTTATTTTACAAACGGAGGTAATCAAAATAATTATTCGACAGAACCCCACATAGTCCCAGAAAATGACACAGATCCATTCAAATTCAGCGTCTCAGTCAAGATGCATCGTTTTTTATTCTTGTTGTTTAGTTGGAGCCTCAAACCCTGAGCCATCAGTGGAGAAGACAGACCCTGCAGCTGGGTCAGGTGGACGTGACGCTCTCTCTGAAGTACACTTCACACCCGCTCGAAGCGCCCAGCCTCACAGTTCAGCAACCAGTCGTCTTCGGCGTGTCGATTGAAACTGTGGCCCAGTAAGTTTGTCACTGTGAACATAAAAAAAACCAGGTGCTAACCCTGTTGCGTCTCAATAAACATATTTGGATCCCTTGAAACTGAAAGCAGAGGTTTGCTTCCTCTCTGCGCTGTTTCACGTGGCTGGTTTTAAGAGAAGCGGTTACTTCTGCGGGAGAGTGGGCCAAGCAGAAGTGTGACTGACTTGTCGAGTCAAAGTTGGCACGCGTTCCTGAGCGTTTTCTGTTTATTTTCCCAGACAGGAGGGCGTGCTGGTTCCTCATGTGGTGCGATGCTGCGTGGAGGAGGTGGAGAGGAGGGGCTTGGACGAGGTCGGCATCTACAGGATTTCAGGAACCACCACAGACATCAACATGCTCAAATCTGCGTTCAATAGCAGTAAGGAAACACACAGCTAAACCTCTGCACTGAGTGAGGCTGATGGAAGAGACTATCCTCACTTGTCACCATGCTATTTGCACTGCAATGCATTCTGGGTAAATGACGCAGACTGGTTGCTCCTGTGTGAGCTTCATCCAGCTTGAGTGTTAATTTTGGACAATGTCTGACATTTAGTCTTTTAACTTGAACTGGAGCGAGTTGACAGAGAGGAGAATGCACGAATGACTCAGCATGCAGCTAAAAAGGAAGAAGACTGAAAGGATGAAGAGTCAGTGTTAGTGCTGCTGCTAACAAATGCTAACCTGAAGAGAGAGCTCGCACTGCAAACAGCTCTGCATTCTATCCCATTCTGTTCACAAGTATCAAGAACAAAACATATTCTCATGTACTACATTAGAATAGTGTGTTACACTTCTATATAGGGGCATAACTCTCCTTAGCTTCCCTGGTAAGGTCTAGTCAGGGGTACTGGAGAAGCGAGTCAGATCGTTGGTCGAACCTCGGATCCAGGAGGAACAATGCGGGTTCCATCCTGGCTATGGAACACTGGACCAGCTCTTTACCCTCAGTAGGGTCATGGGAGTTTATCCATCCAGTCTACACGTGTTTTGAGGACTTGGAGAAGGCATTCAATCGTGTTCCTCGGGGTACACTGTGGGGGGTGATTCGTGAGTATGGGATTGGGTGCCTGTTGTTACGGGCTGTTCAGTCCCTATACAAGCAATGCGAGAGTTTGGTTCACATTGCCGGTAGTAAGTCGGACCCCTTCAGGGTGTGAGTTGGACTCCACCAGGTCTGCCTGTTGTCACCGATTCTATTCATAACTTTTATGGACAGAATTTCTCGGTGCAGCCAAGGGGCGGAGGGATTCCGGTTCTGTGGCTTCAGGATTCCATCACTGCTCTTTGCAGATGATGTGGTCCTGTTGGCGTCATCGTGCCGTGATCTCCAGCTCTCACTGAAGCGGTTCGAAGAGAGAGATGAGAATCAGCACTTCCAAATCTGAGGCCGTGGTCCTCAGTCGGAAAAGGATGGATTGCTCTCTTTGGGTTAATAGTGAGATTCTGTCTCAAGTGGAGGAGTTCAAGTATCTCAGGGTTTTGTTCACGAGTGAGGTATGAATGGAGTGTGAGATTGACAGATGGACTGGTACAGCATTTACAGTATTGTGGACTCTGTGCCGGTCCGACGTGGTGAAGAGGGAGCTGAGCTGTGAGACAAAGCTCTCTGTTTACAGTCAATCTACATTCGTACCCTCACCTATGGTCACAAACTCTGGGTAGTGACGGAAAGAATGAGATTGCAGATACATGCGGTTGAAATGAGTTTCCTCTGCAGGACTCTCCCTTAGAGATAGGGTGAAAAGTTCAGTTATTCGGGAGAGACTCGGAGTAGAACCGCTGCTTCTCCACATTGAGAGGAGCCAGTTAAGATGGTTGGGGCATTGGGTAAGGATGCTTCCTGGGTGCATCCATAGGGAGGTGCTTCAGACATGTTCGACTGGGAGGAGACCCCGGGGAAGACCAAGGATACGCTGGAGATACTATGGCTCTCGGTTGGCCTGGGAATGCCTTGGGATCCTCCCAGAAGAGGTGGCTGTGGAAAGAGATGTCTGGGCCTCCCTGCTCAAGCTACTGCCCCCGTGAACCAAATTCAGAGCAAGTGGAAGATAATGGATGGATGAACGAGTTACACTTCTGTAAAAAGATTTAAATATATATTTTATCACTTTATCCATCCATCCATTATCTGCCACATGTCCTAATTTATGTGGCCGGATGCTGGACCGAGACCACAGAGGAAAACAAAGCAACATTTAGCACAGGATCACACATTAATCATCAGAAGTGCACACGGATGACAACCCTCCAGTACTGCCTTGTGGATGGAGAACAGCAGAGCTGTTTGTGGATGGCACACCTCAGCTTTAGCTTTCTCTGTTTTTGCGTTAGCTCTGGAGCTAATATATAGCCTACTGTATTTATTAGCTCCAGAGCTAAACAAGTTAGCTTCATTCTTAACATCATTATCTCTAGAGATAATAACTCCAGATCTAATAGCATTGTTCCATAGCTAATAGTGTTAGCTCCAGAGCTAATAGTGTTAACTCAAGACCTAACACAATTAGCTCCAGAGCTAATAGTGCTAACTCCAGACCTAACACCATTAGCTCCAGAGCCAATATCCAAACCCAACACTATTAGCTCCAGAGCTAATAGTGTTAATTCCAAACCTAACAGCATTAGCTCCAGAGCTAATAGTGTTAATTCCAAACCTAACAGCATTAGCTCCAGACCTAACAGCATTAGCTCCGGAGCTAACAGTATTAGCTCCAGAGCTAATAGTGTTAACTCAAGACCTAACACCATTAGCTCCAGAGCTAATAGTGCTAACTCCAGACCTAAC